TAAAAAAAAACCAAACAAACCTACAACCAACCTATAATGCATCTACTTTTCAGTGCATACCACTAAACATCACACCCAACTTACTTTAGAGGCTCCATAGACTGTCATCATTGGCATTGGCTGACAACAGGATGAGGAAGAAACATTCACAATTGCCCCTTTCTTCTTCTCTACCATGCCTGGCAGCACAATATGCGTCATCATGTTAGCAGAAGCAATATTTATGTTCATTATGTCCCACAGCATATCCTCAGACAGCTTGGTAAAATAGTCCGGGTAGGAATAACACGTTCCTACATTATTCACCAAAATCCCAATCTCTCTGTTTTTCAGAGCCTCTTTAATGGCTGGGTAAGGCTCACGCCCCTTGCTGAAGTCCGCCACTATGAAATCTGTTTCCACGTTATAGGTTTCAGATATGCTCTTAGCCACAGCCTCCAGCTTCTCTTTGTTTCGGCTGATCAAGATGATGTTGACACCACGCTTTGCCAGTTCTTCGGCATATGCCTTCCCGATACCGTCTGTGCTACCTGTAACAGAAAATCAAAAACCAAGGTGGAAATCAGAGCAGCCCCAGACTTCTATATTGTCAGTTCTTTCAATTATAGCTTTATTCCTTTCTCTGAAGATCATGTGGCACTGAATATGCTCATCTCAAGGCCACAACATCAAAGACAACGTTGTCAGTAGCAACCTTCCGCAATCCCACAAGTTTTATATTTTCTATGACAACAACAGGGAGCTTAGAGCAGAACCTCAATGAAGGACGACGATGTCAGAGGTACATGACTTAAATCTTGTTGAAGAACTTTAGCACATGTGAAAGGCCCCTAGCAAAAAAAGGATCTTGTCTGCATCTTGTATGCGTTCGGGGTGTACCTTGCAATTTTGGAGAAAAATTGCTCTGCGATTCTTTCCCAGCAGCCAGTCAACACACCGAGCTTGCCCATCTCCTGACAAACTGAATTTAGTAAGGTGCTGCACAACTGTCCCTGCTCAAGCAGATTACACTGCAACCCGAGATAACACAGGCTCCAGCTTGTGATGTAAAGCTCACCCAGAGATATAAGCCAGCAGGTTTTACAGTACCGGCACAATATGCTATATAAACATAAGCAAATGTATTATTTCAGTCTCTTACCAGTGACCACAGCCCATTTTCCATACCGCTTGACAAGATCAATCTCGCCGCCCAGCTTTGGAATTAAATGCAACCTCAGCGCGCTGTAAGTGTCAACCGCAAGAGACACACACTTTCTGACAGTGTACCAAGCTCCAACTATAGCCAGGGCCTCTACGTAAAAACTGCAGGAACGGCTGATCTCTCTGTACAAGAGGTGGAAACGATCCACGGCAGCCATGGTGATCACAAGCCTGGAAAAAAATACAAGAGACACAGACAATTACAATCACCACATCAACTTTTCAGATGGAATGGATAACCTTTGAGATGCAGCATATTACAGTCTGAGCACCATTCTGATGCAGAAAAGCCCCACGCTGGCCTGCTAAAATTTGGGTATCACCCACCACCGTCCTCCCTGGTTTAGCCCTTGTTCGAGGGGTTTACAGTTAACCTGTTACACTACAGTGACTCTGATCAATGACGCTGTTAATAAAACAATGCAACTCCAAACAGTTAAGGGAAGCTCAACACATAAAAATTAACTTTTTGAACATTAGGATCTACCTACAAAAGAGGCACGGATAACCAGCAGGAGAGAGCTGAGCACACAAGAAAAAAGCTTGCTGTGCCTCACAAGGTTTTTACCGGCGAATGATTTCTTAGAACAAGC